AGAGGAAACAAGAAAGGGCCTCTTTCAGGCTAATCTCTTACCCCTCTTTCCTCTATAGCATTTATTTGTTTATTTAATGCCGGCACGCTCCCCCCTCCCAGGATGGATTTTTTGCGTTTACTCAAAATCCTCCCTTTCCGCTTTTTTTTTTTTTTTTTTCTTAGTCCGGGACGTTTAAAATACCCGTAATCGCGACATGGCACGTCTGGGAGGCATCTTACCGCCCTGCGCAGGAGGAGGAGGAGGAGGAGTGGGCAGCACCCCCCCGCCCAGGAGGCTCGGCGCCCCCCCCCCAGCCCCGTCCCCGGCTGGAGACGGAGGGTGACGGGGCTGGTTAATCTTTACAGGGTTCTGGGGAGCCGGGGCTGCGCCTGGCGCTGCTTCAGCATCTCCTTCGGCATCTCCATGGTTACGGGGCTGACCCAGTTCTCCTCCCAGAGCGGTCCAGGGTGGGGTGGGATGCGCCTCGGTGGGGCTGGGGGCACCCCAGTGTCAGGCTTCGGGTGCTTGGTCACCCCACTGGGTCCCCCCAGTTGGGCATCACAGACCTGCCGGGGAGCTGGGAGAAGTGGGGAGCAAGGGTGGGGGGTCACAGGTGCCCCCAGGGAGCCAACAGAGATGCCAGAGCATCCCAGTGCCCAGGAGGGGTTGGGGGCTGCAGGGGGTGAGGAACAACCCGGGGCTGCGAGGGGGCCCTGGCCCCAAAGATCCAACTGAGGGAGAAAAGGGGGGGCAAAATACTGATGGGAACAATCAGGTGCTTCGGCAAAGGCTGTGGGGCAGGAGGGAGGGTCCCAGCAGGTGCCCCCACACAGGTGGGGAAGGGTCCCTGACGATGGGTGGGGAGAGGAAGAGGAGGAAGGTGATAAATGAGCACCTCTGCCTCACCAGGGAAGAGGGATTTTTGGGGGGTGTCTGCTTCCTCGAAGCCCCCAAGGAGAAGTGGGGGTGCAAAGCCCCAGCAGTGGGTTGGTGGGTCCTCCTGCCCCCAGGCTGCCCCTCATGCTGGGGCTGCCTCCAGCTCGGAGGGAGAATCCTGAAATGCTGCCAACACCCGGAGCAGGTAGGCCCTAAAATCAGTACTTTTTTTTTGGGAAAAAAGGCTTCTTAGAGCTGCTGCTGCCAGTCCTGAGCAGGGCACAAGGCGCTGGGGCAGAGCAGCAGCACAGCTCCCAACCACGTGCTCCTCCTTCTGTTGGGAAGTAAGGCAAGGGCTTATTTCCCCTAAAAGTACTTAATTCTAATTAATTGCTTCAGGTTTGATAGGCAGTTGCTCGTATAAATGTAATTGCCCAGCAAGGGGTATAATTCAGCACATGTGAGCTGGGAACTCACAAGTAACTCCAGCTGCCGAGTTACGCATCAGGCGGGTTATAAAAACAATATTTTGGCTGAAACGTGCTGCGGCGTTAACCCTCCTGGGCAACCTCACGGGAGAGGGAAACGTTAAAGGACGGGTCCAAACGTGCTCCGTTTGTGGGCAAAGTGGAGCTTCGAGGGGAGAAGTTTGGATGGGGCTGTGCTCAGGGATCCTCCTGGAGCAGCTCCTGCCCGAGGATGCTCCAGCCCCTGTCCGGGCACCTGGAAAAAACCCAACTGTTGTCCAAACAAGATTTAGCAACCCTGTGCCCGGGAGGAAGAGGAGGAGGAAGGCCATGGGGCAAACTCCGTGGCAAGTTCCAGCCAGGTTGCTCCAGGATGGATGATTCTCCAAAAGGTGTTTGGGTGGGAGCAGGAGGAGAAAGCACCGGAGCTGCTGAGCTGTCCCATGGGGAGCTGGAGCTGCTCTCCAGGAGGGATGGTGGAGCAGCACCAGGAGCTGCTTGTGTTGGCAGTGCCCAGCACACGGGGCTTTGCCCAGAAGGCGACCACACGCCTGGACTCTCTGTGGCACCCGTGGGCTTTCCACTGGGATGGGGAGCGCTGGTGGTCGTGGTGTGGGTGAAGAGCTTGGTCTCCTGCGCTGACCTGTTGATGGGATGGTGGTGACAGCGGCCAATGGTGTGGCCTGGGGACATCCCCAAGGGCTCAGAGATGGTCTCATGGAGACCAGCTCCTCCAGCAACCCAAGCAACGCATTGTCTCTTCTGGGATGAGCAGCAAGATGGTGTTCCTCAACTCTGGCAGCGGGTCGGGTCTCAACAGCCTTTCTCTCCAGGTACTCTCTTCCATGTCCTGTGCACGGGGACAGACTGGGAGCACCACTGGGACCCAGAGTGAGAGATCACTGGAGCCACAGCCCTGTGGGGGGTCTCGGAGCAGCAGTGACACACAAGAACCAGCTGTCCCCTTCTGGAGCATCTTCCTCGGTTCCAGCTGCGTCCACACACACCTCGGCCATGGTGAGCTCCTTGCCATCCCCACTCACACAGCACGTGTCCACCTCCAGCCAGGCTGGTGTCACAGCTCCAGTGGAATCGGTGCTCCTGGCAGATGGGATCCATCCAGGAGCACTGGGACAGGGAACCACGTATCTCCAAGAGGGACAGGCAGGAACAGGGCATCTTCTCGCAGCCACCCTTCCCTGGGGATGGGTGTGGGAGCCGGGGGCACCCATGTCTGCCCCTCTGGTGGCCTGATCTTGGGCTAAACCCTCCTCGAGATGCCAGGAGCTCGGGGCCAGTGCCCTGACCATGCTGCCCCTTTCCCCCGTGTCCCTGCGTGACGTCTGCTGCCCGGTTAAATCAGATCTGTGCTGAATCCTGCCGTTTCCAAGGCAACATAAAAGAATCAGAGGAGCAAAAGCCACCCAGCAGGGCTGTGGCTGGGGGACGGCCAGCTCCCGCTGAGCCCAGGTGGCTGGGCAAGCTGGCCAGGGGAGCAGGCACCGTGGCAAGCACCGGGGCATCCCTGACGGTCCAGTCTCATCCTGAAGACACCCTGTCTGGACCGGGCTCTCCCCGGGCAGAGCTCGGGACCTCTGTGTTGGTGGCACCCCAGGGTTGGTTTGGGCCATGATGGGCAGCTTGGGAGGGAGCAAGACCTCGCTGGGGAAACACAGGGGCAGGGACACACAGGAGCCAGCAGCCATCTTGGGTAGCGTGATGCTGCAGCCACGCGGCCCCAAAAATTGGGCCACCTCCATGGGGAGGCAGTGGGGACAGAAAAAACCAGCCCCAGGGCCTTCAGCAGCCCCCAGGATGGGTCTGGGATGGGATCAGCTGCACCCAGACCCCAGCCCATCACCAGGGCTTGGGCTCCAAGGGTTTGTACCACCGTGATGGGGCTGGTACCAGCCTCCCCCAGCACGGAGGGGCTGGGGAAGGAGCTTTTCCCGTTACCCAGCAGCCGCTGCCTTCCCGGCTGCACGGCTCCCAGCTCTGCAATGCAGCTCACCCCGCTCTCTGCTGTGTGTGAATCCCATCAATATTTCATGGAGCTGCTTCCTCCAGGGGAAGGGCTGCTATCAGCTCTGGCTTTCTGCTGCTCCTACCAGCGCTCCTCTTCTGGCAGAGAACATCTGATTTCCTTCCACTGGTGGCCAGCACCCAACAGCCCCCCCCCTTCCCCTCCTCTTTCTGCCTTTCCAATATTGCTGTGCCTTTCAGGGGCTCTGTGTCCCACGTGGGGCAAGAGCTGTGAAGTCCCCTCAGGTTCAAATCTGACCATCTTCTGCCCCTGGTTGCTCAACCCTGCTCTCAGCAGAGATGCCCAACGTTACAGCCCCTTGTTGGGCTCCCCAGGACCAAGCCACCAGCCCCTGCAGCTCCAGGATGGGTGACCAAACCCACCCACATCCCCTGTGGGTCCCCCCAGCTCCATGTCCAGCAGCAGGACAGTCAATGTGGCCCCGTGACAGCTCAGAGCCAGTAGCCCAGACCCCATCTGACTGGGTCCAATCCAGCCCGCAGGTCCCAGCTCGCTCCCGAGCCCAGCGGGGGTAAGGCAGGCTGTTTGCAGGGAGAAAAAAAAAGTTGCTTTTTAAATGCTCAGGCTGCACTATTACAGCAAAGCTTCTTAAGGGATCAGCAGAAATCTTGCTTGCCGTAGGAAGACTTCTGCGAGCCGCAGCGGTGCCAGGAGATGGGGGGAGGCTGGCACTGCCTGGGGCAAACACCCATCACTGCCACGGTGTGTGCCCGACCCGGGGAGAGGAGCTGGGGCAGCTCTTCTGGGCTGGGACCGGTACCCATGTCCCAGGCTGATGGGATGCTGCTCCCGGTGGGATGCTGCTCCCGGTGGGATGCTGCTCCCGGAGCACGGATGCCTTGGCCGGGAAGAGGGGCAGCACAGGAGCGTGTCTGGGGTGGAGGCCAAATGCTCTCGCACCACTCCACCACCCAGCAACTAAAATTGGTGCAATTTTCTCTCTTCAGGCTGAGAGATCCCCAGCTCCAGGAGTCCCTTGGTCTGTGGGAAGGATGAGGACCCCAGAGGGGGGTCCCACCGTGATCCCTGCCCGGTGGGACACAGCACCCCGGGGAGGTGGGGAGCCCTGTGTGACAGCAGCGAGCGTGGTGTGTCAGCGGGGCTGTCAGCCCTGCGCTAAATCGCTTTAAAAATAATTACTAGATGAGCCTGTTTCCCTCCTATTTGAGATGCTGTGACAAAACATTGTTAAGTGCCTTGAAATGGATGCGAGGAGATGGTGCCACGCGGGTTGGGTTTTAATAAGGAGGAAAATGAGGCGCTTTCATAACCTTAAAGCTGCATCTTGCATCAATGGGAGGCTTCCCAGAGCGAAGCGAGAGCCGGGGTGAGCCCAGCGAGGGCCCCATCTGCACGGGCTGAGCTCGAGGAGCGGCTTGTGGGGATTTGGGGTGCAAGGGGTGGACCAAGGCACCGCCGTCTCCTCCTCTGCCCGTGTCCCACAACGGCTGTGGTGACCCGGGCTGCGAGGACGGGGCTGAAACGGGGACGGAGCGAGAGGAGCTGGGAGGTGGGAGGCGGCAGGAGTTCGGCCTCACGAAGGGATGTGGTTGAAGGTCCATCGCTCCTCGGGAGGGACGCGTGAGCTCGGCAGAAGGGCTGCCTTCCCAGAGGTGTTGATGTGCAAAGAAACGGGCACACCTCTAAACTGGGGCTGGAGGAGAGAGGTGTGGGAACAGCCACTCTGCTGCTCGGGGAAGGGGTTGGGGTGCAGCCGGCCACGCTGGGGCTGTTTTGGGCAAGTGGCTCCTTGTCCCGTGGTGGGGGGATGTCCCCAGGATGCTGTGCCCGGCAGTGAAGCCCATCCCCGTGTTGCCAGCCCGAGGGGACAGCAGGCTCCTGCTCTCAGCACACGAATGAAATCAGCAGCGCAGCCCCGTGGGATGCTCCCTGTGCGCCGGGTGATGCAATTCAGCCCGGGGCTGGTTGTTTTGCTCAGCCTCCAAAGACCCCTCGCGACGCTTCCCAGACCCCCAGGAGCGGGCACTGGCCATCACAGAGCCTGGCACGGCCACCACCTCCCACGGGGACAACCCTGCAGCTCAGTGAGAGCCCCCACATGGTGGCCCTGGCTCTGGGGGGACCATTTTGAGGTGCAGAGCGGCCATCGCTCGGCGGCAGCTCAGGGGACATGGTGGCCCAGGCAGGGCCATGCCCATTTGGGTCCTTCTCTGCTGCAGGGAATAAGCCCACGCTGCCCTCGGGCTTCTCACAGAATGGTCAGAGTTGGAAGGGACCTTAAAGATCATCGATCCAACCCCCTGCCCTGGGCAGGGACACCTCCCACCAGAGCAGGTTGCCCAAAGCCCCATCCAACCTGGCCTTGAACCCCTCCAGGGATGGGGCAGCCACTCTCCCCACTTACTGTAATCCCAGTTACAGGGATTACACCTCTGCCCGTCCCGGGGTATCATTTCACTCTTCCTCACCAGTTCTTTAACAGATTTCCCTACAGAACCAGCCACAGCACCTGCCTGAAATGCCACGGAGGGCAGGACGGGCTCTCCACGTCGAGCAGAGCCCAAGGGATGTAGGAAGCACCGACTGGAGATGCCGGGAGGAGGTGAGCACCGGGGTTATGTGGGCTGCTCGGTGGGAGGACGAGGCCCCCCGAGGCAAACCCTCCCCAGGCGGGACCCCCCGTGTCCCCTGGCCCCCAGCCCCCCGTTTCCCCGGTGGTGGGGACCGGCGTACACGGGACGGGGTTGACGTCAACAGCCTTTCAGCGGGGATGATGGATGGCACGGAAAGCGCTCCCGTTCCCGAGCCGCCGGCTGGGAAACGCTGCCCGCCTGCCGCCCCGACCGGGGGGGGGCTCCGGTAAACCAGCCCCGGCGGCCCAGGAGCCCTCGGGAACGGGGGGAGCACGGCTGCGGCCCCCACGCTTTCGGTGCAGCGATGTTTTTGGGGCGTCACGTCTCAGCCTGGAGCCCGGGGTTTGCTTTAGGGGCGCCGGGCGCACCTCGGCAGCAGCCGTGGGGTGCGAGACGGGCACCGGGGCTGTCCCACTGGGGGCCGGGACCCCCCCTTCTCCCCTTTAACCCCCCGGGGCTACCGGAGCGCCCGTCCTGCTCCTCTCCGGCACCGCATCCGCGACGGGCATCCCCCAAAAATCCCTGCCCCCCCACCCTCACCCCTGCCGCCGGCGGGGGATGCTCCGAGGCAGGTGCGGCCCCGCTCCCCACCCGGTAGCCGCGGGGACCGAACCGGTCGCCGTCCCGGGCCACCGGGAGCGCCCCACCCCGCGCTGCCGCCGCCGCCGCGGGCAC